CCTTCGATGTGATTAAGGCCTTCAGGGAAGTGTTGCTGAGACTCCTGCATGCCACGGACCAAACAGCATTTGAGAAACAAAAGGAGACGCTGATCTGTGAGCAGGGAAAATCAGCGAAAAGAGGAATAACAAAGTTTCAGAAGAAGTTCACAATGTCCTTGCACTATCTGCTCACCAGCTTTTTTCTGTGTAAAAGCTGACGTTTTTTTTTTAAATTTCAGAATATTAAGGGTATTCCTATCTTTTGGTTACATATAATCCTTCTGTGACATTTGAGTCTAAGTTATAAGCATGTGCAAGTTTCAAGTTACCTGAGTTATTCACTGACCCACCCACTCTCAAGTAAACCAAATAAATGAAATTTTTGTCATTTTTTTTGAAGGCAGGAATGCCAACAAACTCCCAAAGATAATGCATGATCAAAAGATGGTTACATAAATGGAGCTGGAACATATTCTTCTTATTAAAGTCTCTCAAGAATGGAAGAAAAATGTACTCAGTGCTATTATGAAACCAATATATTATCACCCACACTTTCATATGAAAGATAAAATATAACTATAGCCCGGGATGAAGGAGGGAAGAGGAGGGGGAGTGGAGAGGAAGGGGGAGGTTGGGTGGAGGAAGGGTAATGGGATCTCACCTATGGTGCATATTGCAAGGGTACATGTCAAATCTATTAAGTGGGATCAATGTCTTAACAATAAGTAAGTGAGGTAAAGGCTATGTTAACCAGTTTGATGTACACATTCCAAGTTGTATAAAAAATCAGCACATTGTACCCCATAAATGCATTAATGTATACAGTTATGATTTAATTAAAAAAATGTAAAAATTTTAAAAAATACCCCAAATAAAAAAGGATGGTGAACTTATAAATTTCTGGCTGTTTATAAGATAATTGTATGTAGTTATACACAAGATCCTATTCTGTATTTAATCTAACAAGAGGATCTTAAACCCTGTATCTGAAATTCTAAGGACATGTATTGTAGCAAGTGCACCAAGTTTAGGTCCACACACCCAAACTGGACTATGGTAAGATGCTAAAATTAAAACCAAAGCTGACCAAGTTCACTGCTTCCATTGCATTATGGAACATGTCCTCCAGCCTAACTCAGCATCAATTTCATGAAAGGGAGTAAAATCCTACATGACAGCTTAAAGCATGGGATAAAGGGTTTCTCCTAAGATCTGGGACTACAGTTAGAGAATGACCAGAGATAACTTGGTAGGGTTAATGGGACAGTCTCTCATACCTGTGAGTTACATATCTTGGGTGCAGATACACCTTAAAACCATATATTCACTATTCAAACTGAACAAGATCTATTTTAATCCTGTACATTAAATCTAAAAGACTTTCCAAATGATGATGCTTTTCCATTTTTAAATGGTTAGGTAACTCACTTCCAGGATAGAGTCTACCTGCACATATCCCATATTCTTTCCCCTCTTCTGTGCCACTACCATAGGGATTCTTACCAATGACACTACGAACACGGTTGTCTTTCTCGGTGATGTTCTGGAGTTGTCCTATAAGACATGCTGTGTCTTCACTGCTTAGGGCAGCAAAGCCC